ACTTTTTAGTACCGTCTTTAAGAATGCTACCTAAAGTATCGGCTACTCATGTCGTTATCCGGTCAAACTCTGCATATTTGGTTGAAATGCAATCTTTTAGCCTTTCCTCTCACATAAATGATGATATTTTTCAAGCGATTGTTGACCTGCAAAAATCTCAAAATGGATTAATTGTTCAAAATAAATCCCTCGTTATAAGCTGAAATTTCGTTTTGATCTGATATCTATATATAATGGTTTTAAGACCGAGATTATTGGTTTACGCAGTCAATTAACTATATTTGATGAAAGGATTCAGGTTCTCGAGTCTAATGCCTCATGCAATTTTTTACCCCCCCCCCTCATCGTTTCCAATGTTATCCACAAATTTGATGAGCGTGACCGCTGAAAGACCAATATGAGACGATCATTCATGGTCTCCATGAGTCCACACTCTTCTGGTCCATCCACCTGGGTTTCTGATGACATAAATTATTTTACTGACTTTCTTTTAAGCATCTCAATTTCTGTCCCAAACGAACTTAGATGTGTTAGACTGGGCTGATCAGGCTTAAATATTACACGTCCACTCAAAGTCTTTCTAAAATTTTCTGAAGTTGCGTCTAGACTTCTGTCTGAAATTTGTGAGGCTAAGCGGAGGACAGTAAATCTTCCATTCACAGTTAATGTATTTCTTGGTAAAACTCGCCGTGAACGTGACCAACTCAAAACTTGCCATCGGGAGATGGATTGTCATAAGATGGTTGGAGAAACCGAACTTAATATTGGCTTAATGTTAGCTGTGTTATGAAATCACGGTATAAAACTTTATGGAAGATATTATGGTTAAACATTTATTTGTTGTATGCTCCTTTGGTTCCTCCTTGTTTTTGACTAACGGTGCTTAATTTTTTTATCTTTCCCCTTCATTATTATTTTAAATTTATATGAACACTGTTTAGTCTGTTCTCAACTATAGTTTAACCATTTCTCCCTGTGGTGACTAACTTGCCAGATATTACATTGTATAATGATACCGATAGTCTTTTGTATTCTTCTCATCTCAGAATTTTTTGTGTTCATTGGGTTCTTCCAATTTAATTCCAATGTAAATTCTCATTGATCAATTCTCGACTTAGAATATTATTCTGTAATACTGCTTTAGTTCTCGTAGAAAAGCTCCTTGATAACTTGACATCCTACTCTTGCAATCACATTATCTCTTTTACCTTATATCCCTTTATTCGATAGTGCACATTGTTTTCAAAACTACCATAAAGCCAACTTCAGAAAAAAATTATTTATTTATCTTCTCTTTCTACTGAACATCTACTCTCTTCTGTTTTGATTTAAAACCTACAGTTAACACACTCTACTGATGCTCTCCATAGTACGGTTTTGCGTTTTCATCTGTTTACCTGTTTCTCAAATGTATTAATTTACTTTTCCGTTCTGAATCTCATTGGAACTCAAAAACTTAGTAAGAAACGTAAGAAACATTGTAGGAATATCGTCCATGCTAGATACAAATCTTCTTTAGATTAGGCCGACCACCTTGGTATTTCTCTTCTTAGTGCGAGGTGTAAATATGAGTTAAGAAAATGTTTTAAATCCTTCGGTGATCGCATTGTAACTTCTCTAACTATTGAATCGAGTCGACAGTGAAAGCGAAAGTTAAATGTTAATATGTTTGCTGACCATTTTTTTTTCAGTTTATTCCTCTAGTCACATTAATGCCCTGATCTTAAGCCCTTAAATTCACCGTTATATTACCTTTCTCATAAATATGAAACTTAATGCTCATAAATTTGTTTATTATGTTGGTCTTGAGGGTTTTTCAGGAAATATTCTTTTCATGGTTAGAAATATTATTTGTTATCCTCTTAGCCTCAGTTTCGGAGATCCTTAGACCAGAGTTCTTTTCCTGATCTTTGGAAATTTGGTTCCGTAACGCATATATTAAAAACTGGTAATACTTCATAGGCCTATTTCTTTATATCAAATATACCAAAGAGGTCCTCGAGTCCTTCGTTTTTAATAGCCATTTAGTCATTATTATTATTAATGTAATTTTAGTTAACAAACAACATGGTCTTTGACCAAAACGTTATACAATTACCTATAACCTTATTTTTTGTAATTATATCTTTAATGATTTTAAGGAGGAATCTGAAGTTGATGTCTTATAAACAGACTATGCCAAAGCATTTAATTCTGCGAATCAAAATGTTTTAATTTCCGTGTTGAAGGCCTTTAGGATTAGTGAACCACTTATACCATGGTTTAGTACTTCTTCACAGAATAGATTCCAATGGGTCCATTTATTCCATTATAAATCATACGATTTTTTTCTTCCCGATTAACCGACAGCATTGGAGGATAAGTTTTTACATTGCTACCCTACTACTGCCATCGTTTATTAAAGAGTATAGTGAAGTGTTTCGCAAATTCTTATTTTCCCCTTAGCGGAGCAAGCTATTTTAATTTAACTAAATTAATTAATACTACGGTGAGAGGTGAGTAGTGTGGCCCACATCACTTCCTAACTGTATATTATCTTAACCTAACCTGTAAATGATTTTAAGCCAATGGCAGGATCTTTATCGGTATTAGCCATTAGCCTTGATGTCCGAGGTTGTGTAAATCGTACGTTTACTCGTTACCACCAGGAGTCTCCCACGGAGGACATTTTTTCTCCTCTATTATTTTCTCTGTGATATTAGGTTAAGTACCCGCTGTTCTTTAAAGTATAGTAAACTCCATTGTTATGCAGATTATATGAAATTATTTTATATAATTGCCTTGACATTTACGCTCAGTCTCTTACTTAATATTGATAAGTGCAGATCAATGATTTTTGTAAGAGGACATTGTCGTATTTCTATTTTCGTATTCCATCAATGGCTCCGTCCTTCTTCAAACTGATGATAGTATACGGGATTTGGGTTTAACATTCACCTTGTTGCTGTGTCTCGTGCTCACATTGGTATAGCTGTGTGTTAGGCATTTAATCTGTTTAGGGATTCACCAACTACTTCGTGCTTATGTATGGTACCAGTGTACTAGGTACTTACCTACCTAAATCGTACGTCGGTATGCTATTTACACCACCGAGTCGGCCACTAAATATGTATATGTGTAAAGAGGTAGCTCGATCAGAAGTGGTTGGGAATGCCAACGAGTGTGGTTTGTGGGTGTGTACTTACTATAGGATAAAAAAGTTAATAGGCTAAATAAAAGATAACTCGGTAGAAAATAGGTATCACAGCATGTATTGCTGGTAGGTATAACTAAAAAAAATAATACAATTTAATATAAAAATAATATTACAGCCCTTTTGGCCCAACAGGTAAAAATATAAATGGAAATCGTGGCGATTTGTGTACACGATAAAATAATAATAATAATAATAAAAAAAAACTCACATTGTGTACATTTATACGGAGCGCTGATTGGCCAGCCGTTTACCTAAACCAAAATAATTGAAAAATATTCGGTACACAGAAATAAAACAATGTAAATAAATAGGTAAATAGGCAGGGTCGTAGGAGGCGATAGCGGCTATCGTCCCCCCCCCCCGAGCATTGTTGAATTTGTTTCCTGTATAGGTACTTATTTATTTTATTTTTATTAATCAAAAATTTAAAAACAATTTTTTTTTTTTTTGGAAATGGTTATAAAAAACTTATTAAGATATAGATAAGAAATTAATTACTGTAGCTATCATCAACATATATCCCTACTATTGGTTATAATAATTATATTGCGATTGCCCATACGATTATTGTCTGTACTCTGCAACCATGGTCCGTGTTATTAACTTTTTCTGTTTTCGGGGAATAATACCATAGAGCCATGATAACTATATCATAATACAAATTGATAAGCTATAATGAAAAGATAGCCATGGTAGTACGAGTACTAAACTACAGATCTACAGTAGTTTTTGGCATTTGTGCTAGCAGTTTTCATTAATAATCAACACGGTTATTCATTTTTTTACGCTTATTATTATATACACAATCTGTAATGATATTTACAATAGGTATGCGAGCGTTCAGATATATTATAATGACATGATTGAGCGAGGAGAGATGCTACTCAGCAGTAATACTCAGACACTCAATACTTAAATTCGCAGTACACTTATACACGAAATAATGGCTATATATAATGACTAATAATGGTATTAGGAAAAAAAGTTCTGACCAAAAAAATATTGAATTAATATTTACCTACTACAAAAACTACAATCAGATATTCTCACAATAACTGACATGGATAAATTAACTACAAATAATACACTAAAATTATTATTTAAACCTCCCCCTGAGTCCAAATATACAATAATACACAATAATATACAATATAACATATATTTGGTACTTATACCTATAGTATATTATTTATACTATAAAGGGTTTTTCAAACAATAAGTCAGAAAAATAAGAAAATATATATTATGTATACCTAAATAAGATTTCCAACAAAAGTAGGCAATAACCAATAATATACGTAAAATATGTTTTTAACATAACTAATTATTTTTGAAATTTTTATATTTTTAAATGTATTATATTAATTTACTAAGTGTTTTTTTCCAAAACTTTTTTTTTAATACTTATAAAAATATTTTCTTAAGATGCTAATAACTGAATTTTTCACTGGGGATTTTTTTTCTTCGTCAGGGCTTATTTTTCCTACGTCGAGGCTTTTTTTTCTTATGTGGTTTATGGTCAAGGGCTTTTTTTCCTGGGACTTTATTATCCTCATTTCTAATAATAGTTATCAAAGTGAGTAGAAATCAACTATTTAAGTTTTAAGCAAGCAAAACGATCAGAACATTTTGAAATGCCGATCTATTTATAATCTGTAATACGTTTATGATTGTGTAACTAATAATTTATAAGTATGATTAAAGTTCAAATTACGCCCCTCCCCCTGGAAGATCAGCTGAATACGCCCCTATAAGTAGTTAAATGTGGTGGTAACGAAAAACAATTGTAATAAATATATAAAATATGGCGATTTGCGCCTACGAATTACATAAAATCATACAAAAACTGGTGATCAGCGCCTGTGAAAAAAAATATATACTAAAAGTTCATAAAAACGGATGCGTTCAGTGGTTTAAAGACCAGGGCAGGTACCCAAATACAATGGTAATATTAAGAGGCACTATATGCGCGGAACGTAATTGTGTAACGGCTGGACCTACCCAACAGTACCATATACACCAGGTACACCGGGCCACCGTACGGCGTACGGTATGTAACTTTAAACTAATAATAATAATAATAATAATTCATGGTTATAACTTTAACTTAATCTATAATATTGTTGATTCTAAGTGAATTCCGGTTGATAGTTTTGTTTTGTCAACAATATGTATGTCATATTATGGTAAAATAATTAGTTATGCCTTAAAAATTGTCTTTAATAATATTTATTTAATATTGTACCTGTTTTCCGGTTCCCATCGTGTAATTTCCCGATTTTTATACTCATTGGAAAAACTAAGATAATAAAAATATTAAAATACCTAAATAATCTACCTAATCTTAAAATACCTCCTCAATCAGATTTCCTTTCAGAAGAAGTGTTACACTTGTAAATTAGAGCATAATTTCTGGTAGAAAAGTTATTCACAGATAATGAAAAATTAATAATAATAATAACCATCGTAAAACCAATACAAAATTAAAAAAAATATTAGTATTGGCCGTGCTTTATAATACATTGTTTGAAGCGATTCGTGTAGTTTTATATTTTTACTCCGTAGACGAACCAAACAAATTCCTGGTGATTGACCCGAGCTGGATGACCGGGGACGGTACTGAATGCGACAAGGTGGGTGTGAAACCGAAGGCATTTAACGATCAACCGAATAGGTGTTACCGGCCACGAGGCAGCTGTCTGGGAAGGCAGCCGATCGACCTAATGCGGAAAATGGCCGACTTGGCAGTTGACACACGCGTGTTTGTCGGTGACTACGTGCAAGGCCGGATACGATACGATGGTGCAACCGAACAATTGATAGCGGAGGGCTATCAGCCCTCCGTTGACGTAATGACAGCGACCGCAGTCAGCGACACGGTGTGCATGCAAGGTGTGGTAGAAATCAGTTATGACGACAACGGCGTAGTCACCAACGACAGACGGTAACACATAAATAAAAAAAAAAGAGCCGATACTAGGGATGGGAGCGGCCACTGTTGTAGGTGAGAAGTTGAGAAAGTAGGATGTATAAGTTTATTTCGTTTATATCTGTAAGCAACGGTAAACCATTGCTTGAAGAAAGACGATTCAGAGCGCAGATCGATAATACATAATTTGAATTATCGTAATTTTTTTGCAATTTTAGTTCAAATTTGATTTCAAAACTCTTATTAAAAAAAAAAGTCCACCGATGATTTTAGAAACTGTACTATGTTTATGTTAGTTGAATATAAGTATTATTACCATGTTTCAAGTCTCTAGGTGTATTTATAACAGAATTACAGCAAAAAACTCCTGAAAATTAAAATTCTTTAATAGCTCAAAAGTTTTGGCGATGATACTATAAGAAAGTAAAACAAAAAAGTTTCTTGTAAATTTTTGATTAAATCTTTTTTTTGGTAGTAAACTTCGTCCGTATTTTATAAAATATGAAATCGTGAAATTTTAAGTTTTCCTACTTTTTTTCACACTTAGACGTTTAAAGCAGTTCTAAAATTTTATATTAATGTTATTTTTTGTTATCCTTGATTTTCGGGTGAAAACCTTTACCTACTTTTGATTTTCAAATAGCAACCTATATTAAAAATCCCATAAATAAATAAAGTATTAGTTAAAATTATTTTTGATTTCTTTCAATCCATTGACAAGATATTGTACTTTTAAGTATGAGTCGGGGGAGAGTAGTGGTGAATTATTAAAACATCGCTCGCTGTGCTGACACAAAAATGATACACCACTACTCCCTCCTTAACCAAATTCAAACGTAGAATATCTAGTCAACAGATGAATGGAAAATAAACATTTTATAACTAACATTAATTTTAACTAATACTTCTTCTATTTAAAGTATTTTCAATATAATTTGTCATTTGAAAATCAAAATTAGGTAGTCGTTTGACTCGAAAAATAACATGAAAAAATGATAATATAAAGTTTAAGAACTATTTTTTTTATAAGTTTAAAAAAATATTCCGAAAAAAGTTCATACTTTCCAAGATAATAAATATTTCCGGTTGAGTGAATCACACAATATAACATCGGCTTTAGTGCCCTATCCGTTTCGTTGTCTGGTCATGTATTTTTATACAATATTTTCACAGGGTTTTTCTTCAGATATCTGAAATACACAGCGTTTTCAACAACGACGACATGCATGTAGCCATCCGTGTGTACGTGACAAACGTTGGCCTAAAAACCGTTGAATTTTTCCTCGACATTTCTGACCAAAATTTAAGGGAAAACTGCGAAAAACAGACCGTGCATCCTCAGCAGACCATTGAATGCCGCCTAAATCTTGAATGCCTAGCTAACAAATGCATTGCAATCAGTAAGTCTTTTAATTTAAATATATTATTGAACACAAATTATTATGGTTTAATTATATTATACATTAAATTACTGAAAATGTTACTGTAAGTGTTATGACGTCACAACCAGGCAAATAAAAATGCTGTTTTAGAATAATGGAGACTGGTACAGAAACTTGTTTAGGTAATTTAATGTATACCCGTGAGCAACGATAACCCATTTACAATTACAAAAAAAAAAAAAAAAACAATGAATCGACATTTCATCTGATTCTTCGTTATGAATGAAATTTTCTTCATATTCACTTTTAGGATTTTAGAACAACATTAAGATAAACATAACATAAACATAAATATGAATATCTCGAAGTAGCCAACAAAGTGTTATGTGTATACCATTTACGTCATCGTATTTATGTGAAGCAGTATTTTTTCAGTTACTGTATTATAGTCAAAATATTGAATAAAACTTAATGTTAAAAAAAAATGTGTGTAGCTGTCACAACATAACTACCTAATGTTGAAGATTTATTGAACAAAAAAACAAGCACAATGTTCATATTAAAATTAAATACTAATTTCCGTTGTTTTTCTTTTATAAAAATATAAATATTTTGGTAAATTCTAATTAAAAATTAATAAGATTTATTGTTTATTTATTTTGTCATAAAAATACAAATATTTGAGTATTTAAATAATACAAAATTGAAGATAATTTGTTCATGGGAGACACAATCATTTTTTATTTTTATTTTTATGTTGGCATAAACCAAAAAAGTTTGGGAACCACTGATCTACTATACTACACATTTATTATAATCAGTTATAAATTTACATTAAAAACTTTATTTTTAATAAATAATTAATAACAATTTTATTTCTGCGAGTGTTACTTCATTATGGCGATTTTTATTATTTCCAATTTACTGATGGTATATTATTGTGATATACCTATTTTAAATCATGGTGAATTTTCCAGTGTGTCTATACACAGTGGACTGCATCGGCCCCGCCGTCGTAGCATACAGGAAGTTTGGGGTCATTCGCGGTTGTCGGTGTTATTGTTTATGGCGTGCACGATGCGAGTGCTATGGACCGCATTTCGGACGGATACGGGTTCTCAACCGGTCTCCCCTAACTCAGTTCGAGTATAACGAGGCCGGGTTCTTGGGCGACGCGCTTCCCTGCAAGGCAGCAGACGAGTTTGCTACCCTGGCCCGGGACATTGTATCCGGCAGTCTAGGGCTGTTGGTTACATTTGTGGCAGTTACAATCACTCTCGGGCTAGCCAAAGCAGCGTCGCCATATCGGAGCCATTGGCTTTGGATAGTTCCATCCAATTATCCGTCATCGAAGATGGATGTATACAAAGAACTGGAACTTAAATTATGCACGGTAGTCCGTGATGAATGGGGATACTGCGTGCACCCGATAACCAAATCCAGGAACATACGGTTGTTCGATCGATTCCGTGAATTCGTCATGAACGTGGTGTTTTTCTTTAACCTGCCGGTTACGTTTTGGTGGTACTTGAGGTCAGCAAAATATTCCAGAGAAGAGTGTGATTTCTCGACTGACCATTGAGGCTGAATTTTGCAGGTTTTGAGGAACCACACACAGATGTTCTGTCATTATCAGACAATTTAATTTTGCAGGAAAAATTTTACTTTACATGTGTCGATATCATTTTATAAATTATAATTAATAGTATACTATGAAATTATAAAAACACATTCATTACTCATACCTATCAGATACAAAAAGTTTTCTGCAAGAAAAAATTCTGTTGCCACCTCCCAAGGCCCCAATTAAGTACAATATTAAATCGATAGAATATAAATGGAAATTTAATTAATATTTATAGCCTGCGATAAACCATTGTTAACAAAAAATGAAAGGTCGTAACAAAATTTGATATTAAAATTCCTATAAAAAAAATGAAAGACTGACATACTTCGTATGATGGATCCCAAAAAATATGAAAAACCGGAGAGAAATATAAAAAAAATTTAGGAAAAACGGGATAATAAGTACAATATTAAACAAATATTATTAAAGAAAACATATAATGCTAATGTAATTTATTTATGTAATTATTTAACCCTAATATGACATATGAAATATTGTGGATAAAGCAATAGATATAATCTTTTTTCGTTAGCAATGTTTAATCGTTACGTACAGATGTACATTAAATTTTCTTTTTATCAACTACTCTCCCAACTTCTTACCTAAAATAGTGGCCCACCCATCGTGCGAAGTATTTCTGTCTTACTTTTTTTTCATCAGTTGAAGTATATACAGAGTGTCTCACGAAGATAAACCATTGCAATTTTTCATAAAATAATAAAGATGACATAAATACTGGAGTTATTTGAACAAACAGAATATTTTAAATCTGTGAAAATGAGTCAAAATGGTAGTGTATAAGCCAATATAGACAGGCAATAGTTGTTCAGTGCCAAACCTACATTAATCGGAACGGGTATCTAATTCACCTTGGGTGCAGCCGAATCTTGGGTACACCAAATGGTTTTTAAATTTAATTTGTATACTAGTGTGCAATTACTATTTATTTATTGACTTTTCTTAATATTTAATTTATTATGTTTCTTTTTTATTATTATATTTTTTATATAATTATATTTATGAACATCACCATTTCATCAAGCAATGCTTATAGGTGATGTGTAGCCATAATTATATGTTTTATTATTACATTGTTATAACCTAATATTATTTTTGGTTACAATAAATAGTTATTATTATTATTATTAATATTAATTTGCTAGAAATGTATATTTTCAAAATCGTATTATTCAATCTGGTAACTATTATAAGTTAACCTGGAAACCTATAAAGCAATTTATAAAAGTAATGAAAAAATGTATGACATCAATGAAATCATATCTCAGAATGGTTCTGTTAGTAATAAAGCTAAAATTGCTACTGAATTTAATCAATTTTTTGTTTAGGTAGGTTTAAATATGTCTGATCCTACTATATATATATATATATATATATAAAAAAAATTAAAACCTTTCCAGACAGTAATTTGGTAACGTTAATATTCTGATAGTATTTAAACTAGATTAAATTTAAAATATTATTTAAACTAAAATTATTTTGATCTCTTAAAAGTAATCTTTAATTAAAAATATTCTATAAATATTGTAATTTAGTTATTTTCTAATATTTCAAATTTAATTTCAACATAATGTAATATCAACATTTTGTATTTTAATTATATGATAACAACTAATAAAGAACTGATGAGTTATAAATGTTGATATACTTCAAACAGTCAAATATGGAAGATATTAATATTTGTAAACAAAAATAACATAGAACCTGATACCTACTGTTTTTAGAACAAAACACTATTTAAAACCATGAGCTGTCAACTGGCGGTCATTGTCGTTTAGTCGTCCAAAATAATAATGTTGTTATCAACAATTTATTAATTTATATGTTATACAAATAAAAGACGAATGCATATTGAATAGTGACTTTGAACATACCAATGCATTAACATAGAATAAGCACAAAATATTACAATATAAATTCAGTGGCGGAAAGTAGGATCAAGTATTATAAGCCTAACAAATAAAATAATATTCATCGGCTATATTGACATATTATATTGTTACTATTACGGAATAGTATTATTTTCGTATGGCAATAAACCGCGCGTGCTGGCGAGAATACAAATACACCTAGTTGGTCGTGTGCGTGCGGATAAATTTAAACCGCGATCGTATACTAGCATTAAGGCTTAGCGCACACGGTGCAAATATTTCAGAACTAAAGCTACAAACCAGGCAAGTGCGCAACTCTTTTGTGACTTTGGGTGCGTATAGCTAGTGGGAACCGCACACACGAGGCAATTACAATGTGACTAGTTTGCAATCAGTTTCAAATCAGTTGCTCGCAAATGTTTCCCGTGATCATAGTTGCGTTACAGTTTTAAGTTGCACCAAATCACTTGCATTTTTTTATTATTTGATAGACTGATTTGTATTATTTTTAATTTTTAATTTTATTCATCAAAATGAGTGACCAAGATATAAATACAAAACTTTTCGGAGAGGTGGAGAAGCATCAGGAACTATATAACTATAGACTATTTGAGTACTCAAGAAAAGATGTGACGGAGACAGCATAGAAAGAGATTGCCGCCAAAATGAATATGCTAGGTAAAAAAATTTACTTATTTATTATAAGGTTATAGGTTATTTTTTAATGCAATCATTACATTCAAATCAAATACTATACTAATACACTATCCCATCCGAGGACATAATATATATATAGATAATATAAAAAATATATAAGTAAACAATTTTCTAGATAATGCTCAACGTGGAAATAGACAATCGATTTATATACCTAAATAAAGTAAAAATAATTTGTGCGTATACAAAAGTTATATTTTATTTCAAAAAATATTATAAAATAATGTGAATTATTACAAATTTCCCTCGTGTACTGTGAATTTCCATTGTCAAGGTAAATTTCTCCGTGGGCGGACAAAAGTTTCATTCTGGTTGTATACTAGCGCTTAACTGGTTTGCAATTTCAATTTCAAAACAGTTGCACCGTGTGCGCTGAGCCTAAGGTCCGTTTCACACACACACAATGATTTAAAATCGTTGTGTCGTTGTTGTGTTTGAAATCGGTTCTAATTAATATTAGACACTAATTGTAAAACGCCCATCTGGAATTTTATAGTTTCATCTTCCGTAAATTTATGTGCAAAATTGGAACAATTCCCTTGGAAAATGAAATGTGACGATCTTCTGGCTCTTCTAACGCTTTTAACATTTTCATCTCAATGTCATCTGTATTTTTTTTATGAGAACCAAGTTTTCGAGATGGTACATTAAATTGATCGCTGCCGTTTCACTGTTATTTGAAATGGTAGATAAACTGCTTCAGTTTACCGTGGACAAAATATTTTTATTAAACATTTTAACTGTTCGGCGTAAACGTATTTTTTTATTACTGATTTCTTACCAGAACCGAATTTATTTAGAGATTTTTCTTTTTTTATTGACTTCTTAAATGCATCTTGAATATTCACCCACAGTTTTACAACTTCTTTGCCTATAAAAAAATATATAAATAATTTAATTTACTATCAAGTACTTAGCAAATGGGTATACTTTTACAGATTTACACCTTAGTTACAGAATTGACATTTTAAGAATCAGCAAAATCGTTAAAAATGTTTGTAATAGTATGTGGGAAGTAATGTTACCAGAGTGTATACAAATTCCTACTAAAGAAAAATGGGAATCGATTGCAGTAGAATTTGAGGAATGAGCTAATTTTCGTCATTGCCTAAGGGCAATTGATTGAAAACACATTAGAACTATAAATCCATTGAGCTTAATGTTTAATAACTATAAAGGCAATTTATTTGTAGTATTGATGGCTGTAGCTGATGCAAATTATCGATTTGTATACGTCGACATTGGCAGTTACGAAGAAGATTGTAATTCATCAGTATTCAAAAAATCATCATTGTGGACATCAGTTCTTAATAAAAAGGTAGAAATACTTACTGAAAGTAATGTTTGTGGAATCCAAAATCATATGTTAACATATTAATTTGTTGGAGACGAAGCGTTCGCGCTCTACAAGCATTTACTTTGTCCTTTTGATA